GTTTTCAACATTCATAATAATAATAAATGTTTCTTGAGCAGCAAATCAGCATATGAGAATGATTTCTGAAGGATCATGCAACACTGAAGACTGCAGTAATGTTGCTGAAAATTCTTTTGTGTTATCTATTTGAATATATATATATATATATATATATGTGTGTGTGTGTGTGTGTATGTGTGTATATATATATATATACATGTGTATATATATATATGTGTATGTATGTATATATGTGTGTGTGTATAGATAGATAGATTCAAATAGATAACACTTATTTTAAATGGTAATATTTCACAATATTACTGTTTTTACTGTATTTTTGATCAAATAAATGCAGCCTTGGTCATAAGAGACTTCTTTCAAAAATGTTACTGACACTAAACTTTTAAACGGTACTGTATAATATATAGCAATGATGTAGCACGTGAAATTAGGCTGAAATTGAATTATATTTTTCATTAATAGGTTAGTTTTACAATTGATCAAAACTGCTGCTACTGTTGTTCATGAAAACATGAAAAACGATTGGATATAATGTATAATGTTTTTAATATAATTGGATATAACATGATCTTTACTTAATGTCCTAATGTTTTTTGGCATAAAAGAAAAATCTATAATTTTGACCCATACAATGTATTTTTGGCTATTGCTACAAATATACCGAAATTATAAATATATAATTTCGAAGTTGATTTCTTTCGCTGTATCAAACAGAAGCTCATACAGATGATGTCTTGGAGTCGCTGTGTCTAGTTTGATGTAATAGATCTAGAGTATAAACCCTCTCAAACGCACTGCACCTCATGTGTGTCCACCGCACAAACAGATGTGTGTGATTTGAGAGAGAGCACAAAACACACACTCAAACAATGCTGTCAATGTGAGTTTACATGAGAAATCTCCTGGCGTCATGCAATTAGTGGCTCATCAGATACTTTATGACATTGTTGGTTTATTAACTGTCCCTGCATATAAGAAAGTATATAGATTATCAAAAACAATTACACACATAACATTGACAGTATTTAAAATGCAGTCAGATTCCCCTTTTGAAAAAGTGGTTAGCTACACTATTTACTTAAATGCTATTCATATGTTTCAGTATTGCTGTATATTGAATAACAGCTTAAATAAGGTTCTCAGTGGGTTACAGCATCAAACCTGAATGCATACATTTACACTAAATACCACAAATGAAACTAAAAAATGTCTTAATTTATAAGATTGAATTAAAAACACTGCTCAGCTGTAATGGCATGTCATGTTACTGTTAAAAAAACTGCAAAAAACAGCTTTCTTTCTGGAAAAGCTATTCTTTTTCACCAAAAATATCATTTCAAACATATAAGACTTACATTTCAGTCTGAATATAGCACAGGAGTTGTCTATTACTTTTTGTTTGAGTCATATAGGTTTAGAACAATGTAAGGGTAAATTTTGAGTAAATCATTTCTTCTTTTTGGGTACAACTGTTTTATATAGCTTGTAGTTTGCATTTTGAATGATTAATATAAAAAAAATGTTTTGTCCCAATGACCAAAAAATGAATGAATGAATACATACATACCTGGGTCAAAGACGAAAAAGGGTTTAAGCATAAAAATAATAAGTGTAATACTGCTTTAAATTGTAGTTTTTCAAAAAAAAAAAAAAAAGTAAACATTTTCTGTTTAATTTAATTACAATTTTGTTTTTGTTTTTCTACATCTTAACGTCTTTGACCCACGTATAAGTGGATGCTTGTCGGCCAGAAAAAGCTGTAACCAGACTTGATGCTGGAAGTCAGAAGTTTTTCTTATGTAGTATAAAGTCTAGTTCTTGACCTGTACACATGTGTTCACAGTATCCAGAGTTGCTGGTGGCCTCTTACAACAACAACGAGGAAGCCCCGCATGAGCCTGATGGAGTGGCTTTGGTCTGGAACATGAAATACAAGAAGACCACACCGGAGTATGTCTTCCACTGTCAGGTACACACACACACACACACACCTGCCTTCAATCAGCAATGACTGACTTCTCACTCCTCCCTGTGCACACACCTCCTGAAAGCCATCCCACATAACATGATTGTCATATACAAACACCTACACACTGGCCTGAGATCTCACGGGTGGGCTGCAGACGGATTTCCTTCCATCCTCTCTGTATCTTTCTGTCTCCCTCTCATTCCCCTGCACACTGTGATTTCACTGCCATTCAAACACACACACGCACACAGACACAGACACACACACACACACCACACACACACTCACACACACTCACACTCACACTCACACACACACACACACTTGTGATACCTTAAAGGAATAGTTCAAAATCTCTCGTGTCATGACTTTTTCCTTGCATGGATCACAAAAGAAGAGGTTTTGAAGACTGTTCAAGCTTCTCTTTTTCATACAGTAAAAGCATATATGGTCATATCTGTGAACGTTCATTGTATGGAGAAAGAAGCAACAGCATGTGAACATTGTCTAATATCTCTGTTTGTGTTCCATGTAAGAATGAATGACATACAGGTTTAGAACAACATTATGTGAGGGAGTTAAATGATGATGAAATGCTCATTTATGATACTGTTGCACATGCACATTCATTCACAAACTCCGGTTCAAATGTTTTTAATAGAGATCTGGTAGCATAGAGCCAGTAACACTTTCTAATATTCAGTACTGAATACTGCTTAACACTCCCAGTACATTTAAAATCTGCATACACCTTTTGCATTCCTCTTGTCAGTTTTAACTTAAGCTTATAAAACATTCATAAATTAATTATTTCAAACCATGTTCAAATGTGTTTAATAACTGTGTTATTACCATGTTACTACTTTATTTGCACAATTCTGTTCATAAAAGAGGTAAGATTTGTTTAAATTTTACATGAAGGAAAGCTAGTGTGATGCAAGAAAAAAAAACACATCAATTTTTTTTAGGAATTTTATTTAAATATATAATTAAATGAATATTATAAGAACATATAAAATGAGAAGAACTGTTTGACTTCAGTTGATTTTAAAATATAAATGGTCATCAGACTCAACCCCACAGATTTTTAATCCTTCTGGCCATTATGCTGCATTACAAACAGTACAGAAGCAAATTGTAGCATTTCTTTTGGATGTTTTTCACTGATCAGTTGTGTATGTGATGAGTGTTGCTGTATGTTCAGTGTTGGCTGTGTGTTTGGCCTGAGGTGATCAGCTTGGGACGGCCTGAGTAGAACCACATGTGCCACCCTCAGCAACGGATGCACAGCGCACACACACACACACGAACACACACACACGAACACACACAC